TTTACCTTGTTAACTAGAATTTTTAACGTTTCTTCTAATTCTACTTATACTTTTTTTAAATTTTTTTTTTTTATTATTTTGACTTTAACTCAAGGGTCTTCATAAATTCATTATCATAATTATTTTTTCCTTCTTTTTTGAAATTTTAATAGTTTGGAAAAAAGGCCTCCATGTTTGCAATATTGGTGCACTTTTGATTTTCATGTGGAGTTATTATTTCTATTAAATATATATTTAAAAAAAGACGGTTGAATATTCTATACATAAATCTGAACAAAATCAATGTTAAAAAATAGGCAAAAATTTGGAGGATGTTCAAAAGTGCGTCAATATTGCAAACATGAAGGACTATTACGCTCTATATGAAAACTTAGGGATGACTTTGAGCCTTAACACAAAGATGAGAGACTATTTTCTATCAAAAAGAAAGAATCCACAGTTAATTATTGATTTTATATAATTCATATATAATCTTTCATTGAGAAAAAGTCCAAAATAGTCACTTATCTTTGATTTATTTTTAAAGTAATTATTAAATAAGTCATTTTTAATAACATAGATTAATATGGAGAAACTAATATAAAGAAGGACAAATTTTTCAAATCATAATTAATTTATATTTATTTTAGGTATAATTTCAGAGACCTCCTTCGAGATTTTGCTCTATAACACTCACCTTCACTGTGGTTTACGATATTACGCCTACTTTTCTTATTTTGATTTTTTTTGTAACCATTCCTTTAACCTATTTAAAATGAATATAAATTAATTATGATTTGATTAATTTGTCTCTCTTCATATTAATCAATATTATTAAAAAATGACTTATTTTTATAAATTCTTTTAAAATAAACTAATATGAAAAATAGGCAAAAATTTGGAGGATGTTCAAAAGTGCGTCAATATTGCAAACATGAAGGACTATTATTGCTCTATATGAAAACTTAAGGATGACTTTGAACCTTAACACAAAGATAAGAGACTATTTTATGTCAAAAAGAAGAATTCACTGTTAATTATTGATTTTATATAATTCATATATAATCTTTCATCGAGAAAAAGTCCAAAATAGTCACTTATCTTTGATTTATTTTTAAAGTAATTATTATATAAGTCATTTTTAATAACATGGATTAGTATGAATAAACTAATATAAAGAAGGACAAATTTGTCAAATCATAATTAATTTATATTTATTTTAGGTATAATTTCAGAGACCTCCTTCGAGATATTGCTCTATAACACTCACCTTCCTTGGGGTTTACGATATTACGCCTACTTTCCTTATTTTGATTTTTTTTTGTAACCATTCATTTAACCTATTTAAAATGAATATAAATTAATTATGATTTGATAAATTTGTCTCTCTTTATTTATATATATATTATAGTATTAACTTGTTTGTGTTGATTTGTTTAAAAAGTATTTATTAAATAAGTCGTTTTATTATTAATATGAAGAAATTAATATAAAGAGTGACATATTTGTCAAGTTATAATTGATTTATATTTGTTTTAAATAGATATAAAGAATGGTTACAAAAAAAATAAAAATAAAGGGAGGTAGGTGTAATATCAAAACCCCCAGTAGAAGTGAGTGTTATAGATCGAAACCTCAAGGCTTGTTTGTGTTGATTTGTTTAAAAAGTATTTATTAAATAAGTCATTTTATTATATGAAGAAATTAATATAAAGAGTGACATATTTGTCAAGTTATGTTTGATTTATATTTATTTTAAATAGATATAAAGAATGTTTACAAAAAAGAAGAAGTAGGTAGGTGTAATATCAAAAACCCCAGTCGAAACCTCAAGATAGGTTTAATTTGTCAGGTTATAATTGATTTCTATTTATTTTAAATAAATTTAAAGAATAGTTAAAAAATAAATAAATATGGAAAGTAGGTGTGATATCATAAATCACAGAAAATATGTGTGTTATAGAGTGAAACCTCGAAGTAGGTGTAATTTCTCAAGTTATAATTGATTTATATTCATTGACATATTATTCTAATGAAGAAAATAATAGAAAAATCACTAGAAAATTACAGAATCTCTAAAAGGTGTTTGATTAAAGATTAAATAAAGAATTTACATTAGTATTTAATCATATTTTGCTTATTTTCACTTCGGTGGTCGGATACACTAGTTTATATCTATTTTTTTTTTATATATTTATATTGATTTGAATATAAGTTATGCTGAGATTAGTTATGATGGGATAAATTATATTGGGATAAGTTATGCTGGAATTAATTAGGATGGGATTAATTTTTATTGCTTGTTTGGTTTGTCATTTTCAAATTTATATTCATGGCATAATTTCTAAGAATGAGTTGTTTGTTTACAAAAATACCCTTTACCTTATTTAGTTTTTACATTTTCTTTGCAAGTTTAGTTATTCATTCTTAAAAATAAAAATTTCATTTTATTTAACTTAAATATTTTTGGGTGTGCATTTCCATGATTGTGCCGTGTGTTTTTTAAATTAAACTTTCATCTTATTTAACTTACAAATAAAACTTCCATCTTGTTTAGCTTAAAATAAAATTTCCATCTTTTTAGCTTAAAAATAAAATTTTCATCTTATTTAGTTTTAAAATAATATATTCATCTTATTTAGCTTAAAAATAAAACTTTCATTTTAAGTTTATTAAAAGTAAAAGAAATTTTATTATTAAAGTTATCTACATTTTAATTGATGAATAAAATATAATTTTTAAGTGAGTAATAAACTATTTAATAAAAAAATATGCAATTTAGTAGTGTAGTGAACATTGATGAATCAAAATATAAATAAACATAAGAATTAGGCAAAGAAATTCAACTTATATTATATTAATAAATAAAAATTGTATTTATAAAATGTAATTTTAATTAAAAAAATATATTATCATAAGAGTAACGAATAATTAAGGTTGTGAATGTTATTATAAATGTTGTTAAAAATTATATTAATATATATGAATGTAAAGTGGTGTATAAAAGTAGGGTTTAAGGAGGGTATTTTTGTTATTTTACCTATCCAATCCCTGGGGATGTTATTTCACCCCCAAAAAGGGATAACTTATTCTAGGACTAACTGTTAATCCTGTGATAAATTATCCCACCCTTGGCAACCAAATATCAGATTAAAGGTCACTTAAATATTATCCCTAGATAAAATCCTCTTGTCCATCACACCAAACGACTCCTAAAAGTATAAAAATCTTTAGAAATATTGATTGAACTTTTTATCCTTCACTAAAATATTCTAATATTAGATAAATTGTCTTTTACTATTTTTCACAATTAACCATCGTTTGAATATTATCCCAATAAATAATTATTGACCTTCTACTATATTATAAGTGTGAGATATGCCCATGGTATCAACATGTTAGTTAATTGCCAATAAAATTCACATTGGGGATATTTTAGTCTCTTAACAACACTTTTTAATGCTACGTGTCCTTTAATAGAATGGTAATACCACCCAACAAACACTTTCTTATGCTACGTGTCCTTTAGACTGAATACCAATGCAACAACTATATTTTTATCTCTCCACATGATCTTCTCTTTCTTCTTCAGTAACATCCTTCCTCTCAAACTCAAACCAAAGTTACATTGTAGCTTGTCAGATACAGATCTCTTTCTACTTTGTGTATGATTTCAGTTCTAGTAAGCTTTTTACTTCGTTTAACTTTTGGTTATTGCAATTATCTGCTGGTAATTTATTTCAGAGTTTCTGAAATCACTTTCTCAAACAATACTTCTACAAGGCAAGAGGAAAGATCAATGATACTTATACAATAATTGGTTCACCAAATCATGTTTCCATCTCTCCATGACATTGCATCCGTATATTTTTGGTCCAATTATCCACTTTTTTAATGTTATTATTAGTACTAAAATCTATTGAAGTGGAATATGCACCCCAATTGTTTGATGATATGACTCACAGATTGTTATTTTGAAGTGAGTTGCTTTAATATAAATTTTTGCTGCTTTTAGGAAAGAGCTTTACTCGATGTTATTGGTGACTTGGGGCTAAAAGGACCTTATGAAGATGATTTTACTAACTTTAAATATAATCTATATTGAATGAGAGGTGTTATGTTTTTTAGATAGTTGCAATCTACTATGCTTAAATTGTCTTTGATTTTGATTTGCTCAAATTTATTGAAATAAATTGATCTCTTATATAGGAATTTTAATATTTCTATTGGTGGATAAGGACTGACAAGCAAAGATATTGAAACTGATTCTTGAAAACTTTAGTCACTATATCTAATCTGGTAGTGAATCTTCTAAGTTCTAACCCTCATTCACATGTTCCATTTAATGTAGCTTTATAAATTTATGATATGACATGCGTAGAAGTCACTCGAGGATGTTTTTTTATAGGGATAAGGATCTGAAAAATATCTCAACTTTGGTCGGATTTGCTGTTGTGATACTAAACTTTCATGAGGACCTATTACCTACCTAAACTATTTAATACCGTATTTTAAACATATATATTTGCGCACGTGGACATAAAAAATAATGCAAAATTATAAATAGTAATGTGTCCACGTGG